GATGTTCCTGCCTAGAGAAGCTCTTTAGAGTCTTAGTGCCCAAGTTTTTACTGAAGGCTGGTCACACTCTGCATAGTGTGTACCAAAATTTCCAGAATCCCAGAAGGAACGCATTTATTCAACATAAGCTGTATTGTTTGTACGAATAGTCTAGGCATGGTGAATCACCTTTATCAGTGAATTTCAGCTGCATATGTGTGGGAGTAGAGGAGACTAATGGTAGGTTGATACAAGGTTGGGTATACTTAGTATGGCCGTGATTGAAGGACAAAAGATTGAGGAGTACTGAGGATATCAGGCAAAGAATAATTGAAGTAATCAACCATAGAGTCTAGGCTGAATAGGAAGTAAGGTCAGGATGGGGGCTGTTAGCCTGTGAAAAGAGAGGGGTGAAGGAATTGTTAGTCTTGGTAAAATTGAGCAGGGAGCAGAGTTAGGGTAAAAGAATGGCATGTTGGCTTTAGAATGTTGTAGGTACTCAATCAGTGTGAGTTGAACTGATGAATCAAAAGGTGGAGCAGCATGGAATGATGATGGTATGGCCATGGGGCAGGTTGTTCAAGTTAAGCAAAGGCGATAGTCATTGAAAATCAGATTACTGAACTGTGAAGCCTAAGTCATTTGATGTGTCAGATTACCTCATGGATGTTGATGTTACCAATGTAATGATAGAAGTTAGCACAGTGGGAAATACTGTTTTTGATGAATGTGGGGAAATGACCAGAGGTCAGTACGTGAAGAATAGAGTGTTTTACTACTTTAGACTCTCTGGTTGCAAGTAACGGAAATTAACTCACACTAGCTTAAATAATAGGAAATTACTGTGAGCGCATGAGTAGGACTCAAACCCAGGAATATAGCCAGATCTGAGGAAGGGACTGGAGCCTGGACCTGGAAAGCTATTTAGAACCTAGTTTCTACTCTTTGTTCTTATTTTCTCATCTTTGCTTTTCTCTCCTATTTCTGTTTCTCTCCTTCTGTGTCATAGATCTCACTAGCTTTGTCTTTCAAGACTGGCTCTTTGTTATTCCTTGTTTACTTGGGAGCTTGTAACTATCCTGTATCTTCTGAGCTTACATGTTTTAATTTTAGCCACATGCAGAGACTCTCTGAATCCTAATTCCAAGTTACCAGAAGAGAGAATCTGGTCGGTTCAGACTGAGTTAGTGGTTTGCTTATGCTCCCATCAACTTTGGCTGAGTGGGATGTTATCTTGTAATGTCATATAACATGGTTGTTAGGGTCCCATCTTTGTGGATGAGAGGGCGGCTCTTAATGAGAGCTGTTGTGCCACCAACCACAGTGGATGTCTCCTCTACCACAGTTGAGTGATACAGCTGAATGGAGTTAGTCTAAATGGAAATGGAAGAGGAACTTTTGAAAGAGGCCACGAGAGCAAGTGAAGATATAGGAGAATGGTTTACACTACCCGCCATGGAACTTGGGCAGTGGGAGAATGAGTAGCTTTTACTTACAAGAGAAGTGGTCTCCTTGGTGGAGAGTTAGCTCTTAGTGGGTATTCATGAAAAAGGTTGAGGTAATAGGGAAGGTTATTTATGAAAAAGATTCCAGGGTTTATATTGAAACTCTTTGGGAAGGTGATTGGTGATAAGATGAACCAAAGAGAAGGGGCTCTAAAGCAGTGAGGATAGGACCATCAGAGAGGAAAGATGACTGGAGACTTGATTTTGGGTGATGTCAACAGTATGGTTGACAGGCATGAGAAGTATGGATATAAGTACTTGGCGAATTAATGGTTGGAAAACTTTCATTTTCCTGTTATTTCCATCTGAGTTGAAGATAGTTAACAGAGGCAGTCCAAGAGTGACTAATTTTTGTAGCTCCATCTCACCACACTGAACTTACTTTGGTTTGAGACTTTATTTTTGTTAGAGTTCCCCTTCCCTGACTCATATTGATATGACTATGATTTGAAGTGATGGACTCCTTGTAGTGAATTCTGATAGTTCCATTTGGGTTTTTAAAAGTTGCACATGTCCTGTACTTGGCCCTCACATTCCTGACACCTTTGTTCATCTTTTGAGCACATGCTATTATTGATTTGGAGGAGTATGACTTACAGTTATGTTGCTTCCTCCTTTGAATCAATGTCTGGGATCATCTCTTTGAATAAAACTGTTAATGCATTTTCTTCATTACTAAAATATCCTTGTTACACATAGCATACATACTTGCTCACTCATTCTCTTTACACATACACCTTTTACATATAATTTGCTCCCATCTTCTGTAACAGTTTTTTCAGTTTCCCTCTAACTGATCACTGATTGCTTTTGTCCTTTTTGTGGTAGCCATATGAATTTCTATTTTAAGCCTGGCAGACTCTGTTAGCGAAATACACTTCTTTCATCTTAAGTGTACGTTATCTTCTTTTCACTTTTGATATTTCTTTATTCCCACAAACTGAAATGATAGTTTGTTAAAAGTGGAAGTAAATGTCAGTGACTTTGAATCTCAATTATAGTATATTTGAAAATAGTTCCAGACTTAAGACATTGCTGTTTAGATTTAGTGATACTTTTTGAAATTACTATATAATTTTGAATAATATAAAATATTTTTGTCAGAAGAAACTTGTAATGACAGTGAACAGCAGATTAAGTTGAAAAATTACTAAATAGATGGGACACCTGGGTGGCTCAGTCGGTTAAGTGTCTACCTTTGGCTCAGGTTCATGATCCCAGAGTCCTGGGATCGAGTCCCGCCTTGGGCTCCTTGCTCAGTGGGGAACGTGCTTCTCCCTCCGACTGCCACTCCCCCTGCTTGTGCTCTCTCTGAGATAAATAAATAAAATCTTTAAAAAAAAGTTACTAAGTAGTATTTGTGTATAAAGTACATCATGCTTACTGTTTTTAATGGGCTTATTTCTACCATTTTTTACTTAATAATTATTGCAGAAGAAAGTAGGGGAAGATAAAGTAAAAAAGAAATGGATGCTTTGGAGGAAAGATTAAGGAAGAAGAAATATAAATGGATGAGAGGCATTTGCTAGATAGTTGGAGTTATCTTTTATCAACACACTTAATAATTGTTAAATATGTACTGAGGCTCAATATTTATTCTGTTAAATTAAAAAAATATTTAGTTTGTTCAGCTGCATAGAATTATTAAAATATTTCTATAGTAATATTGTGGGAAAGTGCTTGGTTGAATGTTGATCATATTCCAATGTTTTAGTCCTTTTCATTACTTGTTAAAAAAAGAAGTAGTGTTTATGTTTTTAGGAATAATTTATGCTAGTTGCCCTTGCTTTTCAAAAATTATCATTGATTTCTTAACTTCCCTCAGGAAACACATGCTCATGAGTGAAGCTTCTTCCTGTAAAGCTTAAAAAAAAAAAAAATCCTATGCTATTAGTACCTTCAGAATAAAGATGCTGAATATTGAACTCTCTGAATGCTTTCTCTTTTTAATTAGTATATATAGGATATAACTTTATAAGGATATTGCAGTTATCTGAGTATCTCAGTTACTAAATATACTAACAATATCTTGTGAACCTGGTTCTTTTTCTCTTTCTTTAGTTATTATATTTAATGGTTGGATGGTTCTAAAGCAGAAATTTCGGTGGTTGGTAAAAAGAGGTGATGGTGTAATGCGAAAGGAATGGTACTCCTTAATCCTTTGGCTCATGAAGTCTTTAAAGTATGCTTATTTAAGGAAAACAGAGTTGATGACATATAACTGTAAAAAGTGATTCAGAATTAGGGGCAAAAAGTAGAACTAGTGTCTGCTGGATTGACTCAGGACTCTTCTAGATTTGACAGGGACGTATGTGGACCAAATACTGTGTTCTTTTTTTTCCTTCCCAAGTGGCTCAAGTTGCCAAATCTTTGCCAGAAGGTTGATCATTGCAGCTTGTAGACCATATTTTTTATTCCTTAATTACATTAACAGCTAGAGTTGTTTTATGGATTTTTCTTGAGACTGATGCCAGCCCTTTTATGGGTCTGAAAGTAATTGTAGCATGAATCTAGACTGTATTTTTAGTCTTTAAAATTTCCAGGAGTGTTCTTTATTTATTTGATATATAAATTCTCCATCTGCTTCACTTTTCTGTGACATTTTAAAAATATGCTTGCTATGAAATACAATAAAACACTTTATGTAGTTCTGAGTTAAAAAATTTAGATTAAAAATTCAGTGATGAGTAATAGTGTTTGTTACATCCAATGACTGTAGTTAAGCCATTTTGTCTACTGTTATACTTTTTTTTTTTTAAGATTTTATTTATTTATCTGACAGAGAGACACAGTGAGAGAGGGAACACAAGCAGGGGGAGTGGGAGAGGGAGAAGCAGGCCTCCCGCAGAGCAGGGAGCCCGACGTGGGGCTTGATCCCAGGACCCTGGGATCATGACCTGAGTTGAAGGCAGACGCTTAACGACCGAGCCACCCAGGCGCCCCTCTACTGTTATACTCTTATTCTAGTGTACAAAGGTATATATTGTGTGGGTTTATCTCTTTAAAATCCATACTTCATCAGTGGTACAGCTCTCTCGGTCCCCAATTAGAATCATTAGTAAATGGTAGAGTGTAGACCTGGGTTCAGATTCTATTTTTACCTCCTGAATAAACTGCATATGGTCTCAATTACTTATTTGTAAAATAAATATAATCTTTTCGGAGCTGTTACAAGGATTAGAGAAAATGTTTGTAGAATGTCAGATCCTCTGCCCAGCTCTAAGTAAATGGTAGGTAAGTTATTATTGCGGTTATTAATAAGTAGTGTCCATGGAGTGCTTTGACAATATGATATAGACATTGGGCTATATATATATACATTGAAAAGCATATGATGGATTAAGGAAAGCAAGTGTACAGTCCCAGGGGGGCAGTTTATAGAGCTTTCTGGAGCAGACCATTTCTGTTTTGTATATTTGCAGACTTGTGAAAATAAGCAAATCTATCTCTCTGTCTGGTCTTTGTAAATAGATTTTGAACACTAACAAAATATTTTTCTTTTCCTTTTATCTTAAGGGTGCTATTTTCCTGGAAGGTGTAACTGTTAAAGGTGTGACTCAAGTAACAACTCAACCAAAGTTAGGAGAGGTACAGCAGAAGTGTCATCAGTTCTGTGGCTGGGAAGGGTAATAAACATTTTCAAGTTTTAAATAAAATTTATTTGTACTGTGCAACATTTAACATTAATGCAAACATTGACTTAGCTTCTTTGCTCCTTGAAGTTTGAATATTTACCTAGAGTGCTTAAAAAGATACTAAATGAGTTTTTTTATCAGATTTTTTTCAAGACCAACAATTGAGTCAAAATTAAGACTACTAGAAAAAAACAAAAACAAAAAAACAAAAAATTAGACTACTAGACAGCTGAGTCAAAGTTAAATGACTCAAACATGTCTTCCTAACGGAATAGAAAGTTATTTTTGTCACTATCTAGTACTTGTTTTGTGTGTTTGATTCTGCTGCTGATTAATGTTTGGGTTGCCCATATCATTTTGCTAAGGGAGAAGAGGTGAGACTTGATGACTTGACTGTACCTCATTTTCCAGTTTTTCTGTAATCCAGTTTTCTGAAACCTAGGAGAATCAGCTTTAATTATGTTTTGCCCCCTACCGTGACTTGAAAATATTTATCAGACATTTCATGGGAGGGGATTCAGGAGAGTTCCCTGCTCTAATCTTCTGCACTTAGGTCTTGGTGTGTGGTCATTTCTGTTGATCATTGCCGTCGGTGGCAGAAAACTGTAGTACAGCTAGAACATGATGAAACAGGACTGATACTTGTTAAAAATTTCTAATATAAAGAACGTTTTGACTGGTACATACAGATCAGTTAGCCAGAAATAATTTTAACTAAAAGATGAAAATGATGATGAAGTAATACTCATTTTAGAGTTGTGCTAAGCCCATGCCAGTGTACTTTAATCTTGACCTATATTTCTCCTGTTTTGTCACTTCTGGGCATCTTTTGGGCAGAAATTTGCCAACCTTGTAGAGTTATGCCAAGTTGGCAGTGTCGTGATGGAGGAATATGGGGTCCAGAATAATGTAAGATAATTAAGGCAAGCAAGATTTAAACTTCTTCCTGAAGTAGAAGATTTGTAAACATACCTACTTTACTATTAGATCATGAATATTAATATTTAAAAATTCCAATAGTTACAGTATATAGTGGCAATTAGAAACTTGTTAACTTGAGTCTGAAATGTCTAGAAGATGATAGGTAATGTTTTGTTAGCATTCTTGGGAATGCTGATACTCCAGTTGGCATTAATCTCATAATAGGGAGAATGTTGTGATAAATGTGTGACTAATGTGAGATTGGTTTAAGACGTATTGCTTTGTATGGATGCCAGCCATAATAGTAATAAAATGTTCTTCTTTAAGGTCTGGATTCCCTGGAGCACAGCCTGTTTCCATGGACAAGCAAAATATTAAACTTTTGGAGCAGAAGCCATATAAAGTAAGCTGGAAAGCAGATGGTACTCGGTAAGTTAGACTTCTAAATAAAGTTATACAAATAACTCTAATGCTTGAAGAATACTTCTTCATTGTTAGACAAGGTTTGTACTCTTGGGACTGTGAATTTCTGACTTGAACAGCAAAATAATCATGTTTCAAATATCATGTAATTTTTGTTTTGCTAGTATTCTTAGTTATGTAATTCAGTTTCTCTCATTCTGCTAAATTTTTGGTTTCAGAGTTCTTTTTTTTCTTTTTGTTTTGTTTTTTTTTAAAGATTTTATTTTTCAGTAATCTCTGCAGCCAATGTGGGGCTCCAACTCACAACCCTGAGATCAAGAGTTGCATGCTCCACCTACTGAGCCAGCTGGGTGCCCTCCAGAGTTCTGTTAGTTTGACATAAGTCTGTACCAAATTTAAGTTTGAAAGTGTTTTCTCTTGATAATATTGTGCTTTTTGGTATGTCCGCTGCCCACCACCTTGTGTTTAGTGGTTGTTGAGCACTTCTGAAACTAACAGATGTGTTGTTAGTTTATAATCTAAAAATTACCAAGTCTCCCTGATATTTTGTTCCTTCAAATATTTTGTTCCTTTGAATAGTTTTTCTCTTAATCTTTGCTAATACTTGTTGTAATTTTATATACTCTTAAGGGTGTTGTATTCTTACAACAAAGCTTAGCTTCAGGTTTCATTTTCCTACACTTTTTTTTTTTTTTTCCCGAAGATTTTATTTATTTATTTGACAGAGAGAGACACAGCGAGAGAAGGATCACAAGCAGGGGGTAGTGGGAGAGGGAGAAGCAGGCTTCCCGCTGAGCAGGGAGCCTGATGTGGGGCTCGATCCCAGGACCCTGGGATCATGACCTGAGCCAAAGGCAGATGCTTAATGACTGAGCCACCCAGGCGCTCCTTCCTACACTTTTAAATATTTATTAGTATAAATTTAATATTTCCTCAACATTTAACTTTTTCTTTCTCTTTTGTAATCATATTTTCATAGCTTTGCCATATGTATTTTTTTATTTGGCAAATGTTCTAATAGTTGAAGTAATTATTTTAACAGATATTAATATTAGTTTTTTCCTATTAATTTTTTTCATAATAATGAAAATGTTTCAGAATAATTAATATAGCATTTATATAGTTAGTTTTTTTCCCCAGCTTTATTGAGATATAATTGACATATAACATTATGGAAGTTTAAGGTATACAACGTGTTGATTTGATACACTTACATATTGCAAGATGATTACTGTTAGCTAATACCACCGTCACTTCACATAATGACCATTTCTTTTTTGTGGTGAGAATATTTAGGATCTGTTGTCTTGGCAACTTTCAAGTATATGGTATGGTATTTACTATAATCACTATGATGTACCTTAGATCCCTGGAACTTACTTGTTTTGTAACTGGAAGTTTGTACCCTTTGACCAATTTCTCCCCATTTCCTCTACCTTCTTAGCCCCTGGTGACCACTGTTCTAGTCTCTGTTTCTGTCAGTTTGGTTTTTTTTTTTAAGATTCCATATGTAAGTGATATCATATAGTATTTGTCTTCCTCTGACTGACTTATTTCACTTAGCATAAAGTCCTCAAGTTCCATCTGTGTTGTTGTAAATGGCAGAATTTCCTTCTTTCTCATGGTTGAGTAATATTCCATTGTATTTATATAGCACTTCTTTATTCATCTGTTGATGGTCTTTTAGGTTGTTTTCAAATCTTGGCTATTGTGAATAATGCTGCAATAAAAATTGGAATGCAGATATTTCTTTGAGAAGCTATTTTCACATTTTAGTTTTTTAAATGCTATTTTGAAGATGATATAGGTTGCACTTAATTTTTATGAGGAGGTTTTGAATGTCAAAGTGGCAATTATACCTTTTGTATTATGTTATCTTCATCAGCATTTTGCTTGTGGTGACCTTAAAAGATACATATGAAGATATGGAGTGGGGCAGATAGAACTTGATTTTAATATTAGGTGAATATAATGATACTGTTTCAATATGATATGCTTTTTAGTAATTACATTTTGTTTTTTTAATAGGGAATATATAAAAATATTTTCTTTCATTTGTCTTTGTTGGAAATCATCTTTCCTTTCAACTTAGCATTATCTAGCTTTTTTTGGGGGGGTATTTCATAGGTAACACAGGTTAATGAAACAAAGTTCAGAAAATAACATAAACGAAAAGAAGAAAATAAAATTAAAGAGTGATTTTATCACCTAAAAGTAACCATTACCATCATTGTGGTGTTGATTTTATTCTTTTGGTTATAAAGCAGTTATATTGGGGCGCCTCGGCTCCAGTATATTGGCTCAGTCAGTTGAGCATCTGACTCTTGATTTCAGCTCAGTCTTGATCTCAGGGTCATGAGTTCAAGCACTGCATTGGGCTCCACACTGAGTGTGGAACCTACTTAAAAAAAAAAAAAAGCAGTTATAGTAATCCTTTGTATAGTGAGTGCAAAGAGTTGAATAACAAGTATGTTTTATATATGTTTAATTTTTCATATTTGAATTTAAAAATGAACTAATCTAAATAATTAATATTAATACTTGATAAAATTTTAAGTAGTATAGAGACATAAAATGATAAAGTTAGGTTTGCCTTGTGTGCTTCTAGGAGTATTCATTGTACAAGGATGACTCTGTAAGGATGGATACAGTTAAAGATATAGACAGTTTGGATAATGTGTCCCTTCCATGCCCTTCTCCTTATGAATGTATATTTTTGAAGGATAAATAAAAATTAACATTGTTGCTTATTTTCAGAATGTTAAAATTATATTTAATTTTTTAGATTAGAGTAAGTTTAGAATCTATTTTATCGGTAGTAAGAATTAGCAGAAGTTAAGTTGTTGGTGTGTGTGTGTGTGTATATGTGTTTGTGTATTTTTTTTTTTTTTTTTTAAGTAGGCTCCATGCCCAGTGTGGAGTTCAGTGCAGGGCTTGAACTCATGACCCTGAGTTCAAGACCTGAGCTGAGATCGAGAGTCGAACACTTAACCGACTGAGTCACCCAGGCGCCTCGATATATAATAGCTGTGTAACAATGTCTTAAGGTTTATTAATAGATATTTAGTATTGTAACAATGTTTTAGGTTTATTACCTATCTCTGAGTGGAGGAGTGAAAAAGGTGAGGAGCAAAGATACCCATCTCCAGACTTAATACTATAAATGGCCTGAGGATTTGGGAGTGAAGCATAGTTTTGATCTAATGAGTTTCATATTCTGGATATTTTTTACTTTCTACCTTGTGTTCTCCATAGTATCTAGGCTGTGATCATGGCAAACCTTGGGCAAAATAACAAAGTCTGTAAAATTTGTCATTTGTATTCCACCATCCTATTTTTGTTTATTTTCCCTTTGCATTTGTATACCCCTTTCCTCATTTCTTCTCAGTACTATCAGATCTCTAAATGATTAGCTACAGTAATTTGAGCTAAGATGTTTCAGTTGATAATAGAAATATCTTATTTCTCATGAAACCGTGCTCCACCAAAACAAAAGGAGACCTTTTAAGTATTTATTTGAATACCTGCTCTGTCTTAGGATACTTTATTCTGTGAGGAAAAACATTTATGTGAGATAATTTTCTGGACCAGTGCAAAATCTTTTGTAAAGTAGGATTTAAGGCCAATAGCATGTGAGAGGGACTTTCTGTGATTTATAGGGTGAAAAGAGCCTTAGGGAGCTGTAGAATGGTCTAGGAGCCCATGGACTTAGAACAGCAGATTCAAAGCCATGAACCCTAGACTCTATTTATTTACTTATTATTTATTTGTTTTTATTTTTTGAAATTATTATTATTTTTTAAAGATTTTATTTATTCATTTGAGACACAGAGATACAGAGAGAGAGAGACCATGAGCAGGGGGAGAGACAGAGGGAGAGGGAGAAGCAGGCTCCCTGCCGAGCCAGGAGCCTGATGTGGGGCTCGATCCCAGGATCCTGGGATCATGACCTGAGCCGAAGGCAGACGCTTAACCATCTGAGCCACCCAGGCGCCCCTAAAATTATTTTTAATTAGTATATAATGTATTATTGGTTTCGAGGTACAGGTCTGTGATTCATATATATATATGTATATGAATACCCAGTGCTCATTACGTCACATGCCCTCCTTAATTAATTAATTTATTTTTAAAAGATTATATTTATTTATTAGCGTGACAGCATGAGTGGGTGGGGGGGGCGGAGTGTGGACAGAGGGAGAAGCAGACACCCCACTGAGCCATTAGCCTGACATGGGGCTTGATCCCAGGACCCTGGGATCATGACCTGAGCTGAAGGCAGACACTTAACTGACTGAGCCACCCAGGCGCCCCTATTATTTTTATTTTTTTAGGTAGTCTTCACACCCAACATGGAGCTTGAACTCATGACCTTGAGATTAAAAGTCGTATGCTCGGGGCGCCTACATGGCGCAGTTGGTTAAGTGTCTGACTCTTGGTTTCTGCTGAGGTTGTGAACTCGGTGTCCTGAGATCAAGCCCCTCTCTGGCTCTGTGCTTGAGATTCTCTCTCCCTCTCCATTTACCCCTCCCACTCATGCTCTCTCTCTCTCAAATAAATGAATAAGTCTTAAAAAAAAAAAGTCTATGCTTACCAACTGAGCCAGCCAGGTGCCCCACTCCATTTTATTTAAAGCCATGTTGTGATAGAGTGCGGGACCTCTTTTTATTATCCGTATTCCATGGTTTATTGGCTCTTTATTTATTGTATCTAGCAACAGTATTTAGATCAAAGGATCTCTGAAATTGAGTGTAATATGAGACCTGGATAGAGTTACCAATAAAAGGTATTGCCTAGGAATTTTGATTAGCCTGGCCAAGGCCTGGGGGCAACAGTGGCAGTTTTGACAGGAATCTCTTGCAGATTCTAAAACATAGGGACTATGTTTTAGGGACTATTTACTAATTGTAAAGCCAAATTATATAGATAGAAATACAGAATTTCTTAAAAATAGAACAGTGAGAAATTTGTATTAGTTATATAGGTCAATTGATTAAACACTAAAC